CAGAGGGGCAGGTCCTGCTGGATGGCAGAGGCCATCTCTCGGCCGCCTGGCGGCCTTTGTGGCCGAAGAGGTACTGCGGGGCGGGAAGGTGGTGGTTGTGTGCTGCGAGGGCATCAACCTCTCTGGCAGTTTTTACAGAAACAAGTACCTGGCCATGTTCACCCTCCGCAAAACGATGAACACAACCATCCGTTGTAGGCCAACCCAGCCCGTGGCCCCCAGCGCCCGGAGAGAGGCATGCTGCCCCACAAGAGCCAGCGTGGCCAGGCCGCCCTGGACCGCCTAGACGTGTCCGATGGGATCCCAGCACCCTATGCCAAGAAAAAACGGATGGTGGTTCCTGCTGCCCTCAGGGTCGTGCGTCTGAAAGCCTACAAGAAAGTTTGCCTACCTGCGGCACAGGACGTCGCCTGAGGTAGCAGGCAGTGACAGCAGCCCTGGAGGAGAAGAGGAAGGAGAAGGCTAAGATCCACCACCCGAAGAAAAAGCAGCTCATGAGGCTGCGGAAACAGACCGAAAAGAACGTGGACAAGAAAATTGACAAATACAGAGGTCCTCAAGACCCCCGGACTCCTGGTCTGAGCCCAATAAAGACTTTATTCCTTATGTTTGGCCTGGCCTGTCCGTCCTCCATCGCCACCCTGGGATGTGGGGGAGCCAGGGAACAGCAGTCTGGGTGCCACAGACAACCTGAGACTTAGAAAGAAAAGGCCCTTACACGCTGCAAGTCTGTCAGGTTAAGTGACTCTAGGACTTGCGTCAACATAATTTATGACCTTGTTCATGAGTTTTAGAAAATCGATAGGACCACCAGTTAAATTTGAATAATTGTGGGGGAGCCCTGCCTTGTGAGTGGGGGATCTGGTTTACCTTCTCACCTGGTCAACACTCTACTCTGCATCTGGTAGAGTGTGAGAAAACGCTTGAGGGGACAGTATAAGCTTGGTGTTGTACTGAGTATTTATAGATGCACAGACTGGGGAGGCGAGATGTGCAACAGGAGGTTACAGGGATCACCTTGCTCCTTCCCCGTATTCTGCTACCCAGGAACAAATAAATTGCTTTCAAAGAAAAAGAAAAAAAAAAAAAATATATATATATATATATGTATGTACATACAAAACAACCTTGCTTTTCCTGGCCCCCTAACTCCTGGTGACCCCTACTTAAAAGTTCACAAACCAGTCATTTAATAACTGATCTTGGAGCTGGCTCTGCGGCACGATGATAGTGTCAGACTTCTTAATTCACCTTAAAATCTTACCAAGAGTTGATGTCTAGTGCTATATAATTTGCAGAAACTACTTTCTTCCTTTGAAAATCAGGACATTTGCTGGTCTTTAATCTGTCAGTACTTTAATAGAGGTTAAGCATCCCAAATGCAAAAATCCAGAATTAAAAATGCTCCAAAAACTCAAAACCTTCTGAGCACCAGCATGACACTCCAAGGAAATGCTCACTGAAACATTTTGGATTTTTGGATCTGGGATGCTCAACAGTTAAATATAATGCAAATATTCCAAAATACAAACAAAACAACCAACCTTAGTTCCAAGCGTTTCAGATAAGGGATGCTCACTGTGTAATGTCTCCAGGCTTAGTAACGACAATTTAATGAACTCATGGTCACGTTCATGATGGGAATTTGGGAGGAAGTGAAGTGGTATCGTAAAGCGTCTGAGAAAAGCTGCAGACAAGCCTCATTATCTTTGGGATCAGCAACTTGAAAACCATCAAGGACATACAGTGATCTTTCAGATTAGTGGTGTGCTCCCAGGAAGTGTGCAAAATAGCTGGGACGTACTCTGAAAATATTTGGCATCACTGGGATTGAGATACTGGGTATGTGCAGTTTGAAAAATGTCCTCCCTCCAGGTGATTTGTATGCACATTTCTACAAAAAAATTCTAGTTTAGCATACCATCCTCCTCACTGTAATCATCTCCACTAAATAATGTAACTGTAACATTTGCAATAAAGACATCTAAGCTTTCCACTTTATGAGTATCTGAGGTCATGGTCTGTGGCATGTTTCTCTGAGTACATTACATACTGATTTCTCCAGTGTTATTTTTACAGTACATCATTGTTCCTTGATGTAGGGCTACTTTCCTCATAGTTCACATTGCTTTCATCAACCAGTTCTCCCTCTACATTTAAATTTGTTTTGGAATAGTGGTTTTCATAACCTGTTTTTTTCTTCCAGAAAGCGGAAAAATGACAGATGGACCAGAAACCACTGTTGGAGCGTGTCAGGACATTTCCCAGGACAGTCTGGTCTTGGTTCTGTGTGCTTGGTTGTCAGTAACTGTCAGAACTATTCACTTGCCTAGACAGTCTGCAGCACCCTGACCATCGCCTCCTCCCTCTCCTCTTGTTCTTCCCGTCATCTACAGCACAGCCTTGTAATCTGTCTCTCCTCCAGACATGCAGCACGACATTGCCTCATGTCTCAAGAGTTCTGTTTCTTCCTTGTTCCCTTACATTATCATAATCCAGGATCTTTACTCCAACAAGTCTTGGTCATATATTATATATTAAAATATATTCTTTATTTTTCTTGTTCAGAGAATTGTCTAAGTACATTTTTGGATTTTTTGAAAATTAATATTCTTTTTACATTGTCTTACAGTCTTCAGAGATCATAGATGGTTTTTAAGGAAAAAATAGTGAATTTCATTTTGGTGACTTAAAATGGGTTATAATTTAGAAAATTTTATGCTTTCAAATAAAACCTCCTATATTTAATTGACTAAGATTTTTTTTTTTTTACAGTTTTTGCCCAGGGCTGGGTTTGAACCCGCCACCTCTGGCATGTGGGGCCAGCGCCCTACTCCTTTGAGCCACAAGCACTGCCCCAATTGACTAAGAATTTAAGCACAGATTACTAAGTAAAGAAAAGCTAACTGTTTTTGGCTTATGTGAGCTTGAAATAATACCATTAAGTTTTCAGCTGTCTGAAGTAGGTATAGTAACATCAAAGGGAAGAGACTAAACACAACCACCTCTGCTCTACCAGAGCTGAGACATACAAATTTTATGGCAAGTAATCTAAAACTCTTCTAAAAATGATTAACTGTTATTCTATCCAACAAGAAAACCAATACAACAGCTCCATCTAATTAGTTAAGACACCAGATACTTGTCATGCAGTTTCAGTGTCTAGTAACTATCTTCTAAAGTTCTGTTTCACAGCTTCTAAGTACTAACAACACATTTCAAAAGGTTGATATCAACTTTAAATTACAAAGAATTACCAGAGTACACAATTGTCAAGTGAATATGCAGACACACCAACCTGGCGATCTCCAAAGATTTCAATATATATATTGCAAAGTCATCAGCATAACTTCCAAAAATAAAATTGGACATAAAGTGGGAGAAATGCCACCAAATAGCTGAGTGCTCTACCTCGACAAAGCTCACATACATCCATCTGTATTTTTCACATCAAAACATAATTGACTTGAATTGGCCCAAGGGACAAATTATATTTTTATCTTCTTAAAAATTATCTAAGAGTGCAAAAGGTAATCATTTGAAATTAAAACAAAAACAATTAAGGATTTTGAATATTTTTTCAGTATCTTTGAATTCTAACAAAATATAGTTTATTTAAAAAGTTAAATATGCCAATTGTACTTATTGCTCTTATCTTTTTAAAAAACTTTCCATTTTTTTGTCTTAGTTTGAGATCCAAAGGCACTTTGCCAAAAAAAGAAACAGGCTTTCTGACATTCAGTAAATAAAAAAATTAAATTCTTATTTTTCATACCTGATCTAGTTACGATATCTGAGCTAATAGCTCTAGGTTAACACTAAAAAGAAACAATCAAAAGTTTAAAAAAATTGTGAGGCTAGTTCAAAGTAACAAAGAAACCACTTTATAATTTATACCACTTAGCAGCGACCTCCCATAAGCTCACATTTTAATATTCCACTTACTGGGGGCATCTCAGCAGACTGGTTGGTGGTTAAGTAACACCTCAAACATCCTGTGGACTTTATTAAATTTAAGAAAATAGCCTAAAGTGTTGGTTGCAAGGCCAGAGACAGCCACATTCTAAATAAAATAATTGCCAATGATAAAAGGGCCTTCTTTTTATTCTCAACTATTTTTGATATGTATATTTAAAACTTCATTGTTTAAAAAAAAGACTGTAAAAATATATATTTTAAATCTCAAAGTTAATTTGAAAGAAATGTCTACCACTTCATTTGAAAAATAGCTTCTGTAGATATATGCAGGATTGCCATATGAGTTATAAATCTGCCATCAAAGCCATCACATTTTAGTAGTTTTAAAGGGGAATTCAAAGATTTTTGCTGCATTATGCAATTGATTAAAAACAGTACTTTTACATGTAAAAATAATTTACACTGAAAAACTTAAGCAAAAAGTCTGATACTTTATCAAAACAACATGAACAAAATGAACAATGAAAAATAGCAAAAGCTATTACAAAAAATAGTAAAGTCCTATTTAAATTCCTGTTTTTACACAGATTAAAAATGTATATCTGTGAATTATATCACACAGATTGTAGCATACTTTTAGCTGTAATATAGAAAGGTAACACGGGATATTTAAAGTTCAAGCTGCACTTACCAAAACAGTTTTAACCTGAGTCTTTGATGTTTTCGGAAACATATATGACAATGATGTGTGCAAGCACAGTTAGTTATTTTTAGTAGTATAATTCAAGATTCCTTGTTTGGAATTGCTCTTAATATTGCTTGTTAAATATTTGCATACAATTATAAACATTTACTACATTTCTGTGTTGTCTGAACAGAGTATATGAATTGAAAAGATGTTATTTCTATTCTGCTATACAAGCATATGATGATGTCTTCTTAGTTTAAAATATCTTAGTTTTCACATTTTGAGTTATGAAAATATTGTAGAGGGTCAAAAGATTACCATAGATACTTGAGTATTCCCATGAAATACGTCACACCCACTAAGAAATTATACAACATTCACTAAAGAATATCAATCATTTCCTCCTATAAATATTTTCTTTTTATTTTGTGTTTAGAAGTTGCAATTTTAAGTACTATTAACAGAAAATACATAACAAAAGCTTCCTAACAAGTGAAAAAAATAATTATAAATGCTGGAAAAATTGGCCTCATTAACATATTTACAGACTTTTACTTAATACATACTCCTTTGGAAATTAATTATATGACATTTATACAAGCATTAAAATTTCCAAGTCACTCTGAGTAGTGAGCACTTCAGTTCTTTACTGTCTATACCCACAGTTGAAAGTCATTTAGTTTCTGAAGGCAGAACTGATTAAGCAACAGAAATGGTCAATCTGAAATACTGTTGACATAATGTTCTGTTCCTTTGCCTAAAGATGTTTCTGTTAAGTAAGTGTCTTTATGCTTTTTTTTCTCTTTGCTCTGATCTTCCTGCAGCTTCAGAATTATATTTCGGATTTCTTCTCTTTTTGTTCTCATTCTTGGAGGAGGAAACCATTTTTCCAAATTCATGGGTAGTTCAAAATTGAGAATTGGAGTCTAAAAATAAAAATATTAAATGCATATTTTAAATTACAGTAAATGACAATTTAGTTTTACTCATATAAACATTCCAAAGTTAAAAAGGAGAAAACCAATAGCTAATTCAGTATGTGTTTGCAATTACATGTGAGTTTACATGTGATTATCTATCACATGCTAGGCGTTGCGCTTAGGCACTGGGTAGTTAAGACATGGTTTCTACCTACAGAAGTTACAGTCTAGTTCAGGGGCTGGTAAATTACAGTGAATGCTCAAATTCTGCCCTTTGCTTGTTTTTGTAATAAAATTTTACTAGAAGACAGCCATACCACCACATTTACACATTGTCTGTGGATCACTAGACAACAGCAAAACTGAGAGTGGCAATGGAGACCATATAGCCATGAAGTCTACAATATTTACCATCTGGCCCTTTATAAAAATGTCTGCCAGGCCAAGATTAACCTGAGCAACTTAACTGAGACCCTATCTATAAAAAAAATTAAAAAATGAACCAGGCATGGTGGCACTTCCTGGAGTCCTTGCTACTCAGGAGGCTAAGGCAGGAAGATCACCTAAGCCCAGGAATTTGAGGTTACAGTGAGCTGTGATTGTATCACCACACCCCAGCATAGGTATCAGATCAAGACATGTCTCTATAAAAGAAAAAAAAGGCTTGCCAGCTAGCCTCAAATAAATGATTCAACAATTAAAATGACAACAGGTTTTTTAAAAAAAGAAATGAACATATTTGACATTAAGTGAGGATTCAGAGGCCTTGGTGGTTGATACGCTGGATGATCAGTGAAGGAGGAAGGTATCAAGAAACTGCAAACCAGAGTCTCTGGAGGTAAGTGTGGGACTGCACATCTGAAGTCAAACCAGAAAGTGAGGGGAATGGTCAACAGAGTCCAAAGGTACAGGGAGATCAGGAACAATTTTAACATAAGGTTAAGAATGAAGCCAGATTTTAGGTAATTGAGAAGTAAGTAGATTTGTGAAAATGGAGACAGTGAACATAAATAGTTTAAGAAAAACTAGGCAGGCAGTGCCTGTGGCTCAGTGAGTAGGGCACTGGCCCCATTTACCAAGGTGACGGGTTCAAACCTGGCTCCCGCCAAACCACAACAAAAAAATATCTGGCATTGTGGCAGGTGCCTGTAGTCCCAGCTACTCAGGAGGCTGAGGCAAGAGAATCACCTAAGCCCAGGAGTTGGAGGTTACTGTGAGCTGTGTGATGCCGCCACGGCACTCTACCAAGGGCGATAAAGTGAGATTCTGTCTCTTAAAAAAAAAAAAAAGAAAGACAGACAGACTAGATGCAGTGGCTCACACCTGTAATCCTAGCACTCTGGGAAGCTGAGGTAGATGGATTGCCTGAGCTCAGGAGTTCTAGACTAGCCTGAGCAAAAACTAGCTAGGCATTGTGGTGGGTGCCTATAGCCCCAGCTACTTGGGAGGCTGAGGCAAGAGGATTGCTTAAGCCCGAGGGTTTGAGGCTAACTGCAAGCTATGATGCCACAGCACTGTACCTAGGGCAGCAGAGTGAGACTCTGTCTCAAATACAGAACAAACAAAAAACCCAAAAAACTTCAAATAAATATTTATGTGAAGAGGAGAAGAGAGAGTAAAAGAGGCAGTCTGAATCATGGGACAGATTTCTTT